ATGTTTTCGGCACCAAATCGCATATTTCCCGATAAAATATGGCAGATGGAAGTAAATAACGTCTACAAAGGTGATATTTCACAGTAATAAAGAAGTATTTGGTTCATAATTGGGTCGTATGGGGTAGTATTGGGTGGTATTGGGTAGTATTGGGTCATAGTCACGGCAATTCGGTGATGTTTTCGGCACCAAATCGCATATTTCGCGATCAAATATGACAGATGGAAGTAAATAACGTCTACAAAGGTGATATTTCACAGTAATAGAGAAGTATTTGGTTCATAACTGGGTCGTATGGGGTAGTATTGGGTAGTATTGGGTGGTATTGGGTAGTATTGGGTAGTATTGGGTAATTAGACGCGCCGTGAAAATCATTACAAACATTTCTTAGATAGCGAAGTTTTGATGCTGCTGCTGCAGAGCTGACGCGATTTTTTTTTGAAACTTTTAAGGTTCACACCAAGACGCAATGCAAGGACAATATGAAGAAATATCGACGTTTATGTGCTCTTCTAATTATCTCAATGATAATTTTATGTTTATTGCATTATTCGGGAGACTTACATTTTCTGTATAAGACGTTTTTAATTCCTAAGCATTGGATCTCAAGCGACACAGATATGGATGGAAAGGTGATGTGTGTTTACGTGTCCACTCCAATAATTACCGTCGATACAGATTTAAAAGAGATAATTCTATTATATCCAAAAAGCAAACTGTTAAAAAGCATAATGTGAAAAATCACGAATAAAAATAAGTTGACATTAGATATAAAACGTAAAGTACAACTTGAAATTATATAGTATTGATTTTACACTGCACGTGATGTAACTCGAATTTGACAGTATGATGTTAATATTTATTTACACATCATATATATTTCTAAGGCCTATAAAAATGGAACCTTGTTAAAGGTTAGTCCGGAAATAAGAAATATCACATCTGTACAACTTATATATTTTATTTCAGACTCACAGTGTAAGTCTAGGAACTTTTGACCCATCATCTTATTTACAGCAGCCATCGATATTAGACCAAAAGGATCCATTCCTGAATCATGCATTTAACATTCTCAAAAGTGATGATGTTCCCTTTGACCGCTCACTACCTGACAGTAGGAACACGAGGTAAAGTGTTAAATCTATACAGTAGCCCAAACTAACAAGTATCCTCCCGTGTTCCGTTTTCGACGGTCATCTGTTTTCGACGGTCGTTTATTTCCGGGTCGCGCGCGCGCTTGCGGGTCATATCAGGGGTCACAGAGGTTATGTTTTGATGCCGGCACACTTGCAACAATTCTAAAAAAAAAGTTCGGAAAATGATGATCCGTATGGTAAGTAACTTCTATTTTTACCGCAATGTAGTGTTTAAATCCCGTTTTACATAACTCCAAATTTAAACCCTGTTTAAACCCCTATAAAACCCATTAAATCAACATAAAAAAAATTTGTGACTTCTCGTCTGCTTTGCTATCATTCTGCTCCTTCGATATCACGTGACAAATGTGGGCGGAGTCTCAGTTCGGATAAAAAAAAGTATGGAAGCCTTGAGACGTCAGCTTAACATGGCGTACGCGATTTGCAGGATTTTATTTCTCTTTCGTATCCACATCACTGTTGATAATAAGTCTATTTTATTTATTCAGAGACATAAATAAATGGTCCCTTTCCCTTATTTTAGGTAAAAAATCCAAAGAGAGGAAAATACAGATCAAAATATGACCCTGAAGCATTAACTGATGCATATATTGCAGTTATGGAGACGGGCATGGCCGTTCAAAAGGCAGCCAATATGTTTGATGTGCCAATTACTACGCTGAAAGATAGGGTAAAAGGGCACATCAAAACAGATGTAGTTAAATCTGGACCATCGCCACTATTTTCCCAGGAGCAGGAAGCTATGCTTTCCAGGCACCTCAACACAATGGCGGAATTGGGATATGGTTACTCAAGAATGGAAACAATTAACTTGGCAACAGATTATGCTATTAATTTGGATCTTCGCTCAAAGGACAACCCTTTGAGTCTGCAGTGGTTACGCAACTTCCTGGACAGATGGCCAGAGCTAAAGGTGAGGAAGCCACGAAGTCTTGAGGCAGCCAGAGCGAAGTGTGCCACGGAGCCTGTTATTGAGAGGTATTTTAAGGAGCTTGAGAACGTTCTTAATAAACACAACTTTAAGGAAAGACCAAATGCCATTTACAACCTGGATGAGAAAGGCCTCTCTACTGATCACAAACCTCCTAAAATTGTCTCAGGTGTTGCCTATAAGCCACAGGCTATAACATCAGGAAAATCCCAAACAATAACAGTAATTGGGGGAGCCAACGCTTCTGGTAATCAGGTCCCACCATTCTTTATTTTTCCTGGGAAACGTTTGCTGGATGGCTTGATGGAGGGAGCTACTCCAGGAGCAACGGGTACCGTAAGTGACTCTGGATGGTCAAACACAGAAATCTTTCGACAATATGTGCAGACACATCTCGTGAAGTATTTGCCTACACGGTCTCCAGAGTCCCCAGCCTTAGTGTTGTATGATGGACATAAAAGCCACATTTCAATCGGCCTGATTGAGTGGACACAGAGGAATCATATTGTATTGTTTGTCCTTCCTCCACACTGCAGCCATCTTCTGCAACCTTTGGATGTCAGCTGCTATGGCCCCTTTGAGACAGCATGGAATGCAGCATGTCATGGCTATTTACGGCAGTCAGGCGGGAAGGCCATTACCAGGTATGAAGTGTGTAAAATTGCATGCAAGGTCTACTCAGCAACCCTCACACCTTCCAACATCCAGTCTGCCTTTAAGAAGTGTGGGATTTTCCCCTTTGATCCAAAAGTGATATCCGATTCCCTTGTTGCTCCATCTCTGTCTTTTGCCAGACCAGACGCATCTGATGAATCACTTGATTCATGTAAAACCAAACACATTGCAGGTACTGGTGAACAGTTCTTGGAATCCAGAGGGGGAGTAATTTTAAAGAATGTCAAGGCTGCTAAAGTCAGGAAAACTTTAAGCCGTGTAGTTGCAGGCAAGCCAATAACGGACAAAGACGTGGTACAGAAAATCAAAGATCATATCGAGTCTCAGGCTTCCAACAAACGTAAAAATTCTACTTCTAATCCTGTTGCTGGAACCTCTGGACACGTCCCACAGAAAAAGACAAAGAAGCCGTCTGCCAAAAAAGCAGTAACATCTAAAGTTATTCTGCTTGATTCTGATACAGATGATTCTGAACCATCCGACGAAGAAAAGTGCTGCGTCTGTGGTAAATTTTGCCCAGAAGAAATGAAACGCCTTCCTTACATCAAGTTCGCAAAGTGGGGTGAATGCGAGGATTGTGGTCGCTGGGTGCACTTGCAGTACTGTACAAGTATTAGGGTCATCAGGCGTGGTGACAATTTCTTCTGTCCCGATTGTACCAGAAAGAGGGCAGAGCAGTAGCTTTTTCTTGCTATGCAAACAAAAATAAAAACCCCAAAAAACTTTAAAATGTTTTCAACTGTTTTAAATAACTTTTCTGTGTTATTTGTTGGAGTTAATATGATTTATTGGTCTTGAACATATATAGTTGAGCAGTTCACGTTGGCGTTTACTTTTTTACGGTCTTTATGGGCCACCGTACCGTTGAAAATGATGACCGTCGAATTCTGATGACGTAGTACGCACGCACACATGGTAAGCAGTCGCCATGTTTGTTGACATTATCGCTAGCTGTATTTATCTAAGTTTATCGATCTTTTGCAGAATTATGGAGATAACGGTAAATAATATTACTGGTAAGACTTGGAATAAAATATATTTGACTTGATCCGTAAAAAGCGATTTTGCTCTTACACCGTCGAAAACCGATGACACCAGGGTACAATACTGGTTTTTGAAGAGATATTCTTTTTTCTGTGATTGAGGAAATAAATTCTTTTACAAAATATTTCTCTTTTCAGATGCAAGCCACGACCATTTTCAGACCTTCCAGCAACATCAGTGATTATTTCTTATTACAATGAGGCACGATCTACATTGTTAAGAACTGTTGTAAGGTTTGTAGATCATTTTATTGAACTTTGAAAAGAAGTATTTTTCAACTTAAAATAATTCAGTTTTTAAAGTCACCACACTTAGTTTTGCAGTTGCACTTTCCCGGTACCTTTTTTTTTTATCTGACTATTTTTATCAGAGTTATAAAAACGTGTTGACCATAACTGGATAGTGTTCACCTACTGGTAAGATTACTTAAAAATGTTTATCCAGACGTTTTTATGGGAGTTATGCCCCTTCTCTGATTTCTGTTTATAAATATTGTCTTAAATTTAGTACCGCTACTGACCATCTTGACCAGTATTTATGAAACTTGCGTAACATGATGGGCACTTTGTTCAGTTTGATGCCCCTGTACAACTAGAACTGTAAGCCGACCACATGTCATCTAAAATATACACTTGATGGATATCCCCCAAAATGGAATCTTGATATAGGTCCCTTTTGCGTATCAGGTTCAACCAGTTGAAACGGTTGAACCTTGAAATAAAACGGCAGGCACAGATTTGAACAGAGGCTGACCTCGGCAATATTTGGCGGGGTCAGACATGCCTGACCGAAACTAAAATGACTTTTGCTAGTTTGCGTTATTTCTTTATAAAACAAGTTCATGCCACATGTAGATTTTAAGATACATTATATATTTAAGTGGATGCGTGAAAGAAGGCATAATGTTTTTGATATATTGTTATTTTATTCTCCAAAAATGCATTTTTTAGCTCTGCCTATATATATAGTTTGGTCCAAGTGTGTTAGTTTGTTGTGGAATATTTCTGCACTACCTGAACCGTTTCAACTGGGATACACAAATGAAGCCATAATGCTTGTGGGAGTTTATGAGCATAGGGTGAAAGTTTGGTCCAAAGTGTCCAGGTATACAATATTTGTAACCCATTTGAACCTACTAGTATATTGTGTGTCTGTTTGTAGCGTTTTGAGGAGGACCCCTCCAGAACTAATCAAGGAGATTTTGCTGATTGATGACTTCAGTGATGATGGTATGTAAGCAAGATGTTTGTTATTCTGTCTTGAAATACACAAAATGATGAAAGTGATTTTTTTGAGACATTATTCTAGCAATGCGGTCTGTGTAGCATATAAAAAGTAAAATCAATAGATTTTTGAAAATATGATATGAAGTTGTAGGACCTTGAATTACAATATGTGAAACCCCAAAAAGTCATGTAAATTAGTTTGATATGTAGGGGAGTCACTCATATCTTTCAGTTGAAGTTGGCCGTTTACTTCCGGAGATACCGAAAGTTCAAGTTTTCAGGAACAAAAAACGAGAAGGTAAGAATAGTTAATAATGTTAGAAAAGTACTGTCAATTTACGTATTATATTTAAGTTTTCATTTGTGATTACAATTACATGTTTGAACTTTTTAGCTAAATCTGTTACCTACAAGATGATTAACTCAACAACAATGTGTGTTTATGCAACCTCATCCCATGTTTATTTTGTGCCAGGCTCAGAAAGATGAAATGTGTATTGAAAGGCGAGCTCTCCTATCACCTTTTTCCAAAAAAATCTTAACACACTTACAAACAAGAATATTGTCATTGACTTACATACTTTTTCTATAAGATACTGTACGCCTCTGTGGATTTATTAATAATAAAATGTTCTTTTTGCTATTTTACAGAAAAAAAGGTCCTTGTAAAGATAATGAGTTGAATTTCTTTATTTTTATAGGAAAAAATAATTTCTGGGAAAATTCAGCCTTATGATGTGTGTAATATAATGTCTTCTGACATGAAACTTAATGGAGAACAGAACCTGGTATTGTGCTGTATTCTGTATTCTTGTGTTATATGTATTAAAGGAGATAACCTTCTTTCTTCCTTCTGTTTATCATTTCTCTTCCCTGCAGGTCTGATCAGATCACGAGTGCGAGGTGCGAATTTAGCAGGGAGTGAGGTCCTGACCTTTCTTGATAGTCACTGTGAGGTCAATGTTGGGTGGTTGGAACCGCTGCTCTTCAGGATAGCAGAGGTAATTGTATGTACTGTTGTTGTACCCTCGACAACAAAGCAAGGAAGGACATATACTGGAATTAATTCATCTGTCTTTCCAAAGATCCTCAGTCCCTATATGTCTCCCTTGAAACTTGGTTGAACTATTTTATTTAAATGTAATGTGTATTTAGTGTTCCAATCAAATAATTTTTGACAGAGTTATTGCCCTTTTTACACTCTTTCCAGGGGTCATAGCAATCTTTTGCAAGAATCGCAGAGTATTTTTGTCATATCTCCCAGTGCCCCATGTTGGGCACCAATGTAACAGAGGTCAATATTTTTTCAATGCCTCGCTAGGAGTCGAACCTGGGACCTCTGGTTAACTAGTCTTACACTCTATCGAATGAGCCAAAGAGAAATTCTCCCTAGCTGATTAACCGATCACCCCAGTGATGTTTCAAGACATTGCACCTCTTACAACATTGGAGAAACTGTGAAAGGTGTTTTAACACAATCTAAGTACAACCTGTATTTATTTAGATACCTGAGGAGGGGGAATATTTCACTGGGAGAACATTTCCCAGTGTATTGTGATCTAAACTTTAACTTGTTTTAATTTACCATTTTTATTCAACAATAAGCCATTGTCTGATAATAAGACCATCCGTATACTTGCATATTAGAGTTCAATAGAAATGCAAACAAATGCTGTTTTGTTATACTGTTATGAGCCCACTCCTTTATTGAGTCAGCAATGATCTTTTGGCCCCTGGTGCATATTGAAAAATAAATACAGTGCTAGCCAATTTTATATGAAATGTCTCCTGTAGTCACCGAAGGCCGTGGTGTGTCCTGTTCTAGATGTGATAAATACTTCCACGTTTGACTACATTGCTGCTCCACACACACCTGTGGTCGTTGGAGGTGAGTTTTTATTTATACAATTCTGACCACATCTGGTATGTACATACATAATAAGCAAGTGCCAGGCTAAGTTTGATACCCAGGGTGATTCATGCTACACACAATTAGTGAGGTAACTTCATTCTGATTATTTAATTGCAATAACTTTGGTAGGAAATGACTAGCTAGTACTTTACCAGGGCGACATATAGAAATTTGTGTTTAAAATTAAGTCAGAAAATTATCCCATACGGAAACCCAATAATCATTTTGCACTGTTTTTGAAAATTCACCCCCAAAGAACACTGGTTCACATGAAATTCCAACTTACTTGTAGAATTTGATTGTTTCAATTTGTTATGGAAAAAAGTTATGCATGTCAATATTTTTTTTAGGATTTGATTGGGGATTGAATTTTAAATGGGAACCTCCTGCTCAGTCGATGGTGTTCAGACCAGAAGACCCTCGGAAGTAAGCTTTGTCCTTAAATTCAAAATATACCTTACGTTATAGAGTTTAAAATGAGAATACATATGTAATATGATATTTGAACATTTTCAAAACGTCACCAGAACTCATCAAGTAGTCGTAGTCAAAATGTACTAGGTGTACAACGATGGTACCTGACATGTTTTACAGATATACTTGTCCACACATTTGTTACAGATGCACTTAAGAATTGAACTGTTTTTGTATAGTATTTATGATCTATTTGAATGACATAGCTTTGCAAGCAAACAACATAATGCGCGCTAGCGCATTATGATTTGTTTGCTTGCAAAGCTGTGTCATTCAAATAGATCATAAATATCATACAAAAAACAGTTCAATACTTATATTTACGTTTTCTCTGCCTCTTATGTTCTTTTTTAACTTATAATTTATAATTCAAATTAAAAATGCCCGCCTTATCGACAGTCCACACAATTTCGTTCAATAGTTTGAACAGCGTATTGTCGCGTGCTGATTGGCAAACAAAGTAGTACTTTGACATTTTAACAAACACTTCAAATTTATTCCACAATTTAGTATCAATACAATTGCGTATGATATGTCTATAGGGTGATTCCAGTTTTTCAATAGAAATCTGAGCTGAAAGTTAGATTTGAAATTGTTTCGATTTTCCCCCGGAACAAATTTCGCGCATGGATAAATACAGTGAACACCGTGAATGGGACCTTGACCTCCACGAGGGAGTTAATTTTGGAAGTTAATGCAAACTTTTCTCTTTGCTCGTTTTGTGAAGAATCCAGGTGTGAATGTATTTGTTGATTGTATGGGAACCCGACAACAGTCGGTAGATTCTATAACAGCATCGTTATTTGACATGTCGTCTGAAACTGAGGAACCGTGGATCCGAGACGCGTGAAACTGATAGCGTTTGAAGTGAGTGATCTTGCGACGGAGCACAGGTTCGTTAAAAATGTCTGAAATGACGAATGATTATATGTGCTGTGACTCATCAGTAGGTCTATAGAATATGTGTATTTCAGACATTTATAACGAACCCCTGTTGATCAGTGCAGTGTAACAGACGATATTTCTGATAAATTGCATGAGCGTTAAAATTGTTTCCATTGCCGGCATTGGTGATTTCAACCGATGTGCATTTTGTACGATATTGCAGACCTTGGTCTTGTTTTCGTTGTAATAAAAGTTTTTTTTTTATTTTATTTTTTATTTTGCACATAAATTTACAATGACACAGCGATATTTCAGCAGCCGTCATGTTTATTTACATTGGATATTGTAGTTCCGGTCAGTGTTGTAATTAATACGCTAAGAATTGTGTCTCGTGCGGCATGGTAATTATGTCTCGTGCGGCATGGTAATTAAAGTCCCATTAACGACACAGCTCTCAAAGAGGCTATATAGTGACAATGCCATGCAAATGTAAATATACAGCTTTGAAGTACATTGTATAACGATATTCCCTCAATTGGAGAAAATAACATAATTGTTACAAACTGTATTGATTGATTGTGTTACAGAACCGCTGTGATGGCTGGGGGCGTGTTCAGTATCAGCAGGTCCTGGTTTAACAAACTGGGCAAGTATGACCCTGGAATGGACATCTGGGGTGGAGAAAACTTTGGTGAGTGATGAGTGATGGAAAGAAAACTTAAATGTCAATTCATTGCACTCATGTACTTGTAGATTTTTGCTTTCCAATTACAGTACTATAGTTACTTGTCATGTAGACACTTTTCTGTACCTTCTTGATTTACCATATTTATCCGGCAATAAGCCCATGTTTGGCAATAAGCCTGTGCTTGGTAATAAGCCTACCAATATATATTGCAGTTAGGAAGAAATGCCAACCAAAGCTTTTTCATTGTCGTGTAATAAGTGCATCCCCTGCTATCAGTCAGAGATTATGTGTTCCCCAACCCCAGGCTTATTGCAGGATATACACGGTATAGTTCACAGAATTTCACAAGTCAAATGTCTGTTACTCTTAACAAGTTGTTTCAACAGAATTTTCATTAATTAAACAATTTTCAATGATGTATCTGCTTTCAGAACTTTCCTTCAAAGTTTGGATGTGTGGGGGTGAAATTGAAATCGTGCCTTGCAGTCGTGTTGGTCATGTGTTCAGGAAGAGACATCCGTACGAGTTCCCAGATGGCGATACCAACACAGTTATCAGGTAGACGATTCAGACCCAGTGGCCCTCTTGTGTTTACAAATAACAGAATACAGAGCTGTTTCCGTCATACTCTTACTTTAGCCCCTTCCTCACAATCTCTGATATGCCAATATGCAGTGCTACTTAGAAATACATGTTTTTCAAAGAACATTTACTGAAGGGAAGAGTTGATGTACAAATTCATGATTGCGGTAATAGAAATGATATGCCTGGAGTGCTAAAAGAAGTATATGCAAATAAACGTACCTACTTATTACATTATTTTATGTGATTGCATGTTTTCCTTTGACAGGAACACTCGCCGGGTGGCCGAGGTGTGGATGGACGAATACAAACGATATTTCTACAAAATGAAGCCGTCGGCCAGGATGAAGCCATTTGGAAAGTACGTTTCATCTCCTTCAATAGCTTAGTCGTTCAGTGGTCTTGATTTTACTTACTTGAATTTTATTTTTAAATTGATTGTCTTATTGTATCATTAATACTTAACAGAGGAGTGAATTTTCTCAAGATTTCATTGAATTGCAGTCATGTGAATTGGAAGAGTTCAAATTTGTCTTTAGGGGTGAAGGAGTTAACATCTGAATACTAAATACAGGGTATTTTTTGTAGCAACAGTAAGTCGGCAGATTCAACATGACCGTGATTGTTTTCTTGTGAAGGAGCACCAGATTTAATTTAATTTTGAAACTATGAACTCATTACATGTTTACTGAATGAACTACAGTTTTTTCCTAAGGCTATGTTATTGAAATTAACTCCGGAAAAAATTAACATTTCATACAGTTTCAGAAAAAAATGCCTGTCATGCATTTTTTAGGTCACTTGAGCAAAGTTAGGTCACCTGAGCTTTGCTCAAGTGACCTATTCTAATCGCCTTCCATCCGTCGACGTCCGTCGTGCGTAAACATTTTACATTTTTAACTTCTTCTCAAGAACCAGTGGATGGATTTTTTTCAAACTTGGTCAGAATCATCCTTGGTAGATGAGGCTACAAAATTGTAAAATTGGGATTCCTACCTCTCTCCCTGGGGTTAGGGCAGGGCCCAAAAGGGAAAATTAACCAATATTTCAAAAATCTTCTTCTCCAGACTCAGAGGTACTACAGTCGTTTTCTTTGCATGGAAAGAAAGATCATCAGGAGCTTTATTTAAATTGTAAATTTCAGGACCCCGGAGCTATGCGTTCTCCCTTGGGGAGGGTGTAAAGTTTACTATAGTTTATAAAGGGAAACAACACTTTCGGGTATATTTTAATAATTTTCTGTAGGAAATTATTCTTACTTGGTGAGAATTATCATTGGAGGAAGATGGTTTTAAATTGTAAAATTGGGATTCCTACCCCAACTTCAGGGTGGGCCCCAAAGGGAAAATTAACCAATATTTCAAAAATCTTCTTCTCCAGACTCAGAGGTACTACAGCCAATTTCAGTGCATGGATAGAAAGATCATCAGGAGCTTTATTGAAATTGTAAATTTCAGGACCCCTGAGCCATCCATTCCCCCTTGGGGAGGGGATAAAGTTTACTATAATTTATATAGGGAAATAACACTTGGGTATATTTTATCCATTTTCAACAGAAAATTATTCAAACTTGGTCAGAATCATCTTTGGTGGATGGAATATTACATTGTAAAATTGAAATGTCTGCCCCATCCCCAGGGGCTAGGGCGGGGCCCCAAAGGGAACATTCATCAATATTTTAAAATTCTTATCCTTTGATTACATGACAAGTATTGTATTTCACTTAGTTCACATGCTGATTTCCACATCACATCTAAACCATAAAATAAAGATACCAGTATCTATGATATAACTCAGGTGACCGCTAAGGCCCTTGGGGCTCTTGTTTTGATATTAAGAGGTAGAAAAAAATATAAATTTTATGTATTAAAATAAAGTAACTTGTTTGATATTATCATTTTTAGCTCGCCTATTCGGAGAATAGGGGGGCTAATGTAGTCAACCTGGCGTTTAAATTTGAGGTTAAAGTTTTTTCCAGACAGTGTTGGATCATTACACTCAATACACAGTTGTCTAATATGAGTTCAAGTCATTTATATCGAGTGTAAGCAATGTGCTGGACCATATTTTCATATTTTAGGGGCCAAAAACAGGACCTGGTTAAATATTTTGGGCAAGGTTTTTTTGTGTAGTGTTGCATCACCACCATCAATAGGCTGTTGTCTGTTATAAAGTTTGAGTATTTATGTGGAGTGTAAACAATGTGCTGAATTGTATTTTCATTATTTCAGGGGTCAAAACTGGTTAATTTGACTCGGTTAAAGTTTTTGGGCACCTTTTTTGGGCAGTGTTGGATCGATCACCACGATCATTACTCTGTTGACTATTTCATTGACTAAACATTACTAAGGGACCTGAAAATATGTTGGCGGTAAGTGAGGTGGCAAATGAAATGACGGGCATTATATCGAGGTTTTACTGTACATTGGTTTCTTTTGATATTTGCTATTTTACAATATAAATCACCAATAGGAGAGCTATGCTGTTCTTCAACAGCTCTTGTTTAAAAAGCAAGTTTTATTAGGTCAATATTTTACTTTAAACAACTTCTTCTCAATAACCGAAAGGCCCAGGATACTGATAAAATGAATGACCTTGACCTGTATTCGAGGTCACATTTGTTCAGATATATAAATGACCTAATCTCGTTAAAAAAAAAGGTCTAGGGTGGTGATATTTGGCAAGTGGCATGCTGAAATGAATGGCTATAAAGTTTATTCAACTTAATGACATTGTTCGAAAATCAAGGTCACATGGGTCAAATGATTCAAAATCTTTTAACCTGTTGTTTTGAATGACTTATAGTCATAAATACTGATATTTAGGTTTCAAGTGTGAAATTGATACCAGGTCAGCGATGCGGGCCCATTAGACCTCTTGTTGCTTGTTTATGCGGTATCAATTAATCTTCAATTTTTGTCAAACTTGGTGGGATGTTTCATTACCTGAATGTTGATGTTTAATTGTCCAGTACTGTGAACCATGTTTTATTGTCCAGTACTGTGAGCCATGTTTTATTGTCCAGTACTGTGAGCCATGTAATATTGTCCCCATGTTATATTGTCCAGTACTGTGAGTCATGTTATATTGTCCAGTAATGCGAGTCATTTATATTGTCCAGTACTGTGAGCCATGTTTTATTGTCCAGTACTGTAAATCATGTTTTATTGTCCAGTACTGTGAGCCATGTTATATTGTCCAGTACTGCGAGTCATGTTTTATTGTCCAGTACTGTGAGTCATGTTATATTGTCCAGTACTGTGAGTCATGTTTTATTGTCCAGTACTGTAAATCATGTTTTATTTTCCAGTCCTGTGAGCCATGTTATATTGTTCAGTAATGTGAACCATGTTTTATTGTCCTGTACTGTGAACCATGATTTATTGTCCAGTACTGTGAGCCATGCTTATTGTCCAGTACTTTGAGTCATGTTTTATTGTCCAGTACTGTGAGCCATGTTTTATTGTCCAGTACTGTGAGCCATGTTTTATTGTCCAGTGCTGTGAGTCATGTTATATTGTCCAGTGCTGTGAGTCATGTTATATTGTCCAGTACTGTGAGTCATGTTATATTGTCCAGTACTGTGAGTCATGTTATATTGTCCAGTACTGTGAGTCATGTTATATTGTCCAGTACTGTGAGTCATGTTTTATTGTCCAGTACTGTAAGTCATGTTTTATTGTCCAGTACTGTGAGCCATGTTTTATTGTTCAGCACTGTGAGTCATGTTTTATTGTTCAGTACTGTGAGTCATGTTTTATTGTCCAGTACTGTGAACCATGTTTTATTGTCCAGTACTGTGAGTCATGTTTTATTGTTCATGACTGTGAGCCATGTTTTATTGTCCAGTACTGTAAGTCATATTTATTGTCCAGTACTGTGAGTCATGTTTTTTTTTAACTTTCAGGATATCTAACAGAAAGAAGCTGAGAAACCAATTAGAGTGTCAGTCATTTGCTTGGTACATCAACAATGTATATCCTGTACTTAAGTGAGTCAATCTGTTATATCAACAATGTATATCCTGTACTCAAGTGAGTCAATCTGTTATATCAACAATGTATATTCTGTACTAAAGTGAGTGAAACTGTTACATCAACAATATTTATCCTGTACTAAAGGGAGTCAATCTGTTACATCAACAATATATATCCTGTTCTAAAGTACATCAATCTTGTACATCAACAATGTATATCCTGTACTAAAGTTAGTCAAACTGTTACATCAACAATATATATCCTGTTCTAAAGTGAGTCAAACTGTTACATCAACAATGAATATCCTGTACTCAAGTGAGTCAAACTGTTACATCAATAATATATATCCTGTACTAAAGTAAGTCAATCCGTTACATCAACGATGTATATTCTGTAATACAGTGAGTCAAATTGTTACTTCAACAATATTTATCCTGTACTAAATGGAGTCAAACGGTTACATCAACAATATATATCCTGTACTAAAGTATAACAATCTGTTATATCAACAATATATATCCTGTACTAAAGTACATCAATCTGTTACATCAACAATGTATATCCTGTACTAAAGTGAGTCAAACTGTTACATCAAAATTGTATATCCTGTACTAAAGTGAGTCAATCTATTACATCGACAATGTATATCCTGTACTAAAGTGAGTCAAACTGTTACATCAACAATGTATATCCTGTACTAAAGTGAGTCAATCTGTTATATCAACAATGTATATCCTGTACTAAAGTAAGTCAATCTGTTACATCAACAATGTATATCCTGTACTAAAGTGAGTCAATCTGTTACATCAACAATGTATATCCTGTACTAAAAGTAAGTCAATCTGTTACATCAACAATGTATACTCTGTAATAAAGTGAGTCAAACTGTTACATCAACAATGTATATCCTGTACTAAAGTGAGTCAATCTGTTATATCAACAATGTATATCCTGTACTCAAGTAAGTCAATCTGTTACATCAACAATGTATATCCTGTACTAAAGTGAGTCAATCTATTACATCAACAATGTATATCCTGTACTAAAAGTAAGTCAATCTGTTACATCAACAATGTATACTCTGTAATAAAGTGAGTCAAACTGTTACATCAACAATGTATATCCTGTACATCAATCTGTTACATCAACAATGTATATCTTGTACTAAAGTGAGTCAAACTGTTACATCAAAAATGTATATCTTGTACTAAAGTGAGTCAATCTATTACATCAACAATGTATATCCTGTACTAAAGTGAGTCAAACTGTTACATCAACAATGTATATCCTGTACTAAAAGTAAGTCAATCTGTTACATCAACAATGTATACTCTGTAATAAAGTGAGTCAAACTGTTACATCAACAATGTATATCCTGTACATCAATCTGTTACATCAACAATGTATATCTTGTACTAAAGTGAGTCAAACTGTTACATCAAAAATGTATATCTTGTACTAAAGTGAGTCAATCTATTACATCAACAATGTATATCCTGTACTAAAGTGAGTCAAACTGTTACATCAACAATGTATATCCTGTACTTAAGTGAGTCAATCTGTTATATTAACAAAGATGTATATCCGGTACTAAAGTGAGTCAAACTGTTATATTAACAATGTATATCCTGTACTAAAGTGAGTCAATCTGTTATATTAACAATATGCATATCCTGTACTAGAGTGAGTCAATCTGTTATATTAACAATAATGTATATCCTGTACTAAAGTGAGTCGATCTGTTATATTAACAATATACATATCCTGTACTAAAGTGAGTCAATCTGTTATATTAACAATATACATATCCTGTACTAAAGTGAGTCAATCTGTTATATTAACAATGTATATCCTGTACTTAAGTGAGTCAATCTGTTATATTAACAATGTATATCCTGTACTAAAGTGAATCAATCTGTTATATTAACAATGTATATCCTGTACTATAGTGATTCTTTTTGCACCTATCAGTAAGATTATTATAATCTACTTGTTGATGATTAAAACTAATATGTCTAATGAAGTGATAAGTTCTGATTCAAGTGTCGGCGTTGATTAAGATTCACCAGGGAAGAAGGAAACTGCTGTATGTCTTTGTTTCACCGTATAAAGGCTCTTCTTTCTTCCCTCACCAGGCCACCAGTTAGTGATGAAGTACTGTTTGGTCAACTGAAACAAGGAGACCTCTGTCTAGATGTGGATACTGGTCATGTACCAATTATCACCATCCTCAGTCCCTGTGATGCTGATCGTCAAAGTCAGGTAATGTCTCAATAATCACCATCCTCAGTCCCTGTGATACTCAGTCGGGCTCTGATACTGACGAATCAAGTAAGAAAATGTATAACTAGGAGCAGTCACGGAAATATTGTTCATATAAATAAAAGTGGTTGAAAGAAGGAACATTCTTTATATAACTAGAGGTCGTGGAAATATGGAACATTGTTTTATTGAATTTCAGCAGTGAAATATCAGGAATTATCCATTCATTAAAAATTAGATCCTTTTTAGCTCACCTGCCGTACTGCGGCGTCCGTCAACTTTTTAGCTCACCTGAGCTTTATTTAGCTCAAGTGATCTATTGCTATCCGTCGTCGTGTGTCGTCCGTTAACATTTTACATTTTCAACTTAAGCTAAAATACTGGCAAAGGGATTTCATTAATATTAAGTGGGAAGGTTACTGACATCTCACTGACCAAGTGTTGTTATTTTTCGGGTCGATCAGAAATCCAATATGGCCGCCATTGCCGCCATTTTGAAAAAGTATTTCAAACTTAAAATCAAGTTCTACTGGGCAGATTGAACTGAAACTTAATAGGAATGATCGACTCATAGTCCTGACAAAGTGTTGTTATTTTTCAGGTCAATCAGAAATCCAATATGGCCGCCACGGCCAGCATTTTGAAAAACTCTCAAACTTAAAGTCAAGTTCTGCTTGGCCAATTGAACTGAAACTTGGTAGGAATGGTCGACTTATGGTCCTGACAAAGTGTTGATATTTTTCGAGTCGATCAGAAATCCAATTTCACTGCCACGGCCGCTATTTTGAAAATAACTATTTCAAACTTAAAAACAAGTTCTAATAGGCCGATTTAACTGAAACTCGGTCTAGGAATGATCAGCTTATGGTCCTGACAAACTGAAGTTAACGTTATACTTAACTATTTTGTACTCAAATTGGTACATATTTCAACAACAAAAATAAATACTGTAGGACTCAGGTGACCGTTAAGGCCCATGGGCCTCTTGTTCTTTTGAAGAACTGGAGGACCTGAGTCATGATATTTGGCCAGTAGGTACCTGGGATGGAGTGCTATAAAATGTCCTCATTAAAATGTCCTTGACCTACTTTCAAGGTCACAGGGGTCAAATATGTTAAAAACTTCAAACAACGATATCCTTAGAACCATTTGGACTAGAGTCATGATACTTGGGTATTTTTTGTAGACCAGCAGTGTGAATTTTTCTTAATTACAGTAATGAGGTCAAAGGTCAACTTTAAGTGCTAGTCAGGGGTCAAACAACATGGGTTAAATGCTTTAACAATCTTCTTCTCAAGTTCCATAAGGCCCAGGGTCATGATATTTGGTCAGTAAGTACCTGGGATGGAGTGCTATAAGGTTTCCTCATTAAAATGACCTTGAACTACTTTCAAGGTCACAGGGGTCAAATATGTTAAAAACTTCAAACAACAATATCCTAAGAAGCATTAGGTTTAGAGTCATGATACTTGGGTATGTTATGAAGACCAGCTGTAAATCTTTTTCTTAAAGTCAACTTTAAGTACTAGCCAGAGTCAAAGGTCAACATGGGTTAAAAGCTTTTTAAAACATAAGAACCGTTTAAGAGATGTTAAAATGTCTTGTGTTCTAGTTATTAAAATTAGTCAGAAGTTACCCATATGTCAGTTTCATGTAACAAAAGAAACAGGTGAGCGATACAGGACCTCTGGGCCTCTTGTTAGTATTGTCCAATCAGAAAAGTACTATCAATTAACTGGCTTGATTTTCAGTTTCAAGTTCAGAATAAGAGGTTGTTTTGGTACACTTTTGCAGCATACAGTATGGTATTTACATCAATACACAATTGATATCATTAGCTCACCTGCCCAAAGGGCAAGTGAGCTTATGCCATGGCGCAGCGTCCAGCGTCTGTCAACTTTTCCTAAAAATCGCTACTAGTCATCGCTACTTCTTCTGTAGGAATGAAAGGATTTGTTCCATATTTGGTCTGAAGCATCCTTGGGTAAAGGGGAACGAATTTTGTATAAACCGTGGGTCTGGCCCCTTAGGGGCCTGAGCGACAGGGCCCAATAGGGGAAACATAATAAATTCTTTAAAATCCTTCTTCTCCTTCTGTAGGAATGAAGGATTTGTTCCATATTTGGTCTGAAGCATCCTTAGGGGATGGGGAACCAATTTTGTATAAACCGTGGGGCCCAATAGGGGAAACATAGCAAATTCTTTAAAATCCTTCTTCTTCTGTAGGAATGAAAGGATTTGTTCCATATTTGGTCTGAAGCATCCTTGGGTGAAGGGAATCTAATTTTGGATAAACCATGGGTCTGGCCCCCCAGAGACCTGAGGGGCGGGGCCAAAAGGGAGCAATTGCTCTATATTGATTTAAGCGCCTTCTTCTCTGGAACTAAGAGATGGATATCAACCATATTTGACTGGAAGCATTCCTCTGTAGTGGAGATTCAAAATTGTACAAATGGTTGGGCTAACCCTCCAGGGGGCTGATGGCTGGGTCCAAAAGTGGGCAATTTGGCTATATTGCTATTAATGACTTCTTCTGTAGAATTATGCCATGGATATCGATCATATTTGGTCAGAAGCATTCATGGGAGGCAGGGATTCAAAATTGTACAAAAAAAGTTTATTACTTGGAAATGGTTGAGATCCCCTAAGTACAACCATATATACAATTGTGGAATATAAAGAGAAGTATGCACATTTGCTTCCAGGATGGCCTAGGGTCATGCCCCACCCTTTTAGACATAGTCCCTTGGTGATAACTCTGAAACGGTTGAGATCACCACCCCAGAACTATGTATACAAAAGCTTGGCATAAAGAGACAAAAGTAGTCATGGTATTAGAATAGACCCTGGGGTCTGACTGAACCCCTAGGGACCTAGTTTCTTAGTCACAGCTTGGAAACAGTTGAGATCCCCACCCTATAACCATGCATATATACAATTGCTGAGTATAAAGAGACGAATGCACATATGCTTCCAGGATGGCCTTGGGGTCTGCCCCAGCCTTACAGACTTAACCCCTGGGTCATAACTTTGAAATGGTTGAGATCCCCACACCAAGACTATAAATACAAATGCTGGAAAAAAAGAGACGAATGCAGTCATGATATTAGAATTGATCCTGGGGTCTGGCCACAACCCTAGGGTTCTAGTTTCTGAGTCACAGCTTGGAAACAGTTAAGATCCCCGCCCCATAACCATACATTAAATTGCTTGGTATGAACAATCTAATACTGACATACTACAAGAATTGGCATTGGGGTCTGGCATATTCCCTTGGGTCTCATTTGGAGAATATTTTGCCATGATTGCTTAGATATCCAGGTGAGCGATTCAGGCCCTCTGGGCCTCTTGTATTTAGCTCGCCTGCCCGAAGGGCAAGTGATCTATATGAGCTTATGTCATGGTGTTGCATCCGTCGTCCATCCGTCCATCGTCCGTCTGTCTGTCGTCTTCCTTTAAACAACTTCTTCTGAAGAACGAACAGGCATAGAGCCATGATATTTGACTGAAAGCATTGTTGGTAGGAGCTCGACAAAGTTTGAGAACGAAAATGACCTTGACCTACTTTCAAAGTCACAGGGGTCAAATGTGTCAAACTCTTCAAATGACTTCTTCCGATGAACTGAAAGGTTTAGAATCTTCATATTTGGCTGATGGCTTCCTGGAATAGAGCCCAACAAAGTTTGAGAATGAAAATGACTTTGACGTACTTTCAAGATCACAGCGGTCAAATATGTCAAATGCTTCAAACGACATCTTCTGAAGAACTAAAAGGTATGAAATTATGATATTTGGCTGGTGGCTTCCTGAGATACAGCCCGACAAAGTTTGAGAATGAAAATGACCTTGAGCTACTTTCAAGGTCACAGGTGTCAAATATGTCAAAAACATCAAATGACTTCTTCTGAATAATCGAAAGGCATACAATTATAATATTTGGCTATTGGCTTTCTGGGATAGAGCTCACCAAAGTTTGCAAATGAAAATGACCTCAACCTACTTTAAAGGTCACAGAGGTCAACAACATTTCAAAGGATTTCTGAAGAACCAAAAGGAATGGATTCATAAGATTTGGCTGCTAGCTTCTTAGGATAGAGCTAAAAAAGTTTGAGAAGGAAAATGACGTTGACCTACTTATAAGGTCACAGGGAAAAATAACCAAAAATGTTATAATAATATTTGGCTGGTAGTTTCAACAGATGGAGCTGACAAAGTTCGCGAGTGAAATATTTGTAGTGCAATATAATATTTAATGAGAATATTTTGCTATGACTGCTTAAATATTCAGGTGAGCGATACAGGCCCTCTGGGCCTCTTGTTTTGTTTGGAAATCTTATCAGAAAATAGCTGCAAATGGCAGATTGCATTAAGGAACCATTCAAAATGGCTCTCTGCCTTGTTGTCGAGCGTTATATTATTATACAGGTATGTAAATAAGGTATACTGATTTCTATACTTAGGAATGGTCATGGAAGAAGAGAGGAGACATAACAAACAATGGCCTCTGTCTGACGGCCAATCTAGAGACAACCCACAGCTACATACTCGCCAAATTCTGCAGCCAGGATGAATCTCAGGTACCAATCATCACGAAGTATTAGATAAAAGTGGACAGTATTGTAGATCAGTGGTAATAGACTCAAAGTATTGTAGATCAGTGGTATTGTAAATTAATTTTCAAAACTTTGTCGTTGGAATATTCATTGATTATAAAATGTCACAGGGCATTAATTGTGCTCTTGTTTTCAAACAACTGTGTATTCCACTTGATTTTCATACTCTATTTTGAAGGTTATTCTAGGAATATTCAACAGAATGTTCATTAAAATGCAAACAGAGTTGTTTCAGGAAAACACAAACTCTGTCTGCAATAAAGTTATAAGCTTATGTCTACAAAAATTATGTACCAGAAAATATACTGTTTGAATGTTTTCAATAGAGAACTAAAATCACAATCTCAACAAGTTTTTTATTTTTATTTTTTGCCCTAACTGTGGAAAGCCATTCTTTTTTTCCGCCAAGGTCAATCATGTTTCACGAGGACAAAGCCCGAGTAAAACACTATTAATCAAGGAGAAACAAAGAATCGTGATTCCCTACTGCATTGGCAACTAATGTTATATTATGCCGATTTTTTTTTTGATTTTTATTAAAAACAATAACAAAATAGTAAATATGATCAGGTTGACGCGTCATTATAGTCATTTACTCCCGTCATTTGGGACTAGGTTGTGGTGGCCCTTGCAAAGTTTTCAAGAGAGGCTCCAAATAAGGGAAATATGTGTGGAGGTGACATGATGCTGTATTGCCCTGTCATGTGAACAGTATCATCCAATCTCTGTTATGAAGATAAGGTTGTATAATAATTCCTAAAAGGACCTTGCAACAGTAGTAAGATGAGGAACAGTACAGAGAGTGAGAATAGACCGTAGTTTTAATTATTCCTTGTTGTTCTTTATCTTTCCAGATTTGGACAGAGCATCAATCACAAATTGTCCACAAACCCACAGGTCAGTGTATAGATGCTCATAAAGCTGACATTGGTCTTGTTCTAGCAGAGTGTGATCCCAATAATGGTCAGCAGAAGTGGATACTTCCAGCCAAAGGTCACCTTCACAGTAGAGACTTGTAACATGAACATGATGAGATGATAGGCTGGTACCTTGATCAATGTGTTCAGCAGATGTCTTGGTCAGTGTTTTGAGCAGATGTCTTGGTCAGTGTTTTGCGCAGATGTCTTCACTAGTGATTTGAGCAGATGTCTTCACTAGTGATTTGAGCAGATGTCTTCACTACTGATTTGAGCAGATGTCTTTGGTCAGTGATTTGAGCAGATGTTTTGGTCAGTGTTTTAAGAAGATGTCTTTGTTAGTGTTTTGAGCAGATGTCTTTGTTAGTGTTTTAAGCAGATGTCTTTGTTAGTGTTTTGAGCAGATGTCTTTGTTAGTATTTTAAGCAGATGTCTTGGTCAGTGTTTTGAGCAGATGTCTTCACTACTGATTTGAGCAGATGTCTTCACTACTGATTTGAGCAGATGTCTTGGTCAGTGATTTGAGCAGATGTTTTGGTCAGTGTTTTAAGAAGATGTCTTTGTTAGTGTTTTAAGCAGATGTCTTTGTTAGTGTTTTGAGCAGATGTCTTTGTTAGTGTTTTGAGCAGATGTCTTTGTAAGTGTTTTAAGCAGATGTCTTTGTTAGTATTTTAAGCAGATGTCTTTGTAAGTGTTTTAAGCAGATGTTTTCATTTGTGTTTTGAGCAGATGTCTTGGTCAGTGTTTTGCTCAGCAGATGCTTTGCATTGACAGATATAAAATATTTGTGTGCTAAAAACTGATGTATGTTTGGGTGAAAATAAGAAAAGTAACCAACAAAGTTATGTTTGGGTGAAAATAAGAAGAGTAAGCAACAATGTTAACAGCGGACAACAACTTGCTGTAAGGTGTTGGGACTATTACAGAAATGAACACCTGAGAAAGACAGGAGACATTTTCTTTTATAAATGATGAGCGGTGGAGGTAATCCTAATTTCATCAACTGTTAGAAGTATCATTTACTAATTGATATTCAGTGGAACGTGGGGTCTCCTAAAAAGTGTCTGCCACCACACTTTTTGTATTTACTATGGTATTTACATGCGCCATAGTAATATTGTTGTGGTGTCAGGAGGACTGGCTAAGACATGACATGTCCTTACTATTTTAGAATCTAAATACTCGATAGCTCGGCAACTTTAATTGTATTGCCAGTCTATCATCATCATGGCCTTTCATAGCAGCTCATGATTCTTGAGATCAGGTTGTGTTTTGGTACCAGCTTCTGTTGTCTCTTCTTATAAGACTTCTATGTACATATTCTCAAAATGTTTTGTCTATATCTGTTATTGTTAAGTTAATGTGTGAAATCAAACAAACATTTTGTTTACATTATCATATCTGCCTAGCTTTGACAAGGAAGTTAGGGTCATCATTTGTAAAAATGCTGCTTAAGTCTTTTAATCGCAGGGCGTCTCGGTGCATGAACTTTTCAAAGTCATCAATGTTAGTAGTAATATAATTGATACTGTTATAATATTTGCCTTTTAATATACTAGTTTGTCTTGTGTCACAAAGGTTTAAAAAGGTGATTTTTAAAACACTTTTAGTGTTAGCTAAGCTTGGCAAATGGAAGAGATTCCATGGTATTGTGCAGTCTGTGTCATTCATAGCTAACATTTGCAAGTTGACCAGCAAAAATGCAGGTGACTTTGCAGCTACAATGCTTAATACCTATGCTTTTGTTTAAACATGTAGATATCATGGTGTTTCGTATGTTCTTATGTTTTGTTAATAATCATCCACAATTTATTGATCTTGTCAGTAGTAAAGATGTTGTCCTGTTGAAACTGTATTGTTAAATCATACTTTACGGTTATTGTTGGTATACTCACCTTTACAGGGTTACATGGAGGGGTTATTGTTGGTATGCATACCTTTACAGGGTTACATGGAGGGGTTTTGTTGGTATGCACACCTTTACAGGGTTACATGGAGGGGTTATTGTTGGTATACACACCTTTACAGGGTTACATGGAGGGGTTTTGTTGGTATGCACACCTTTACAGGGTTACATGGAGGGGTATTTTGGTATGCACACCTTTACAGGGCTACATGGAGGGGTTATTGTTGGTATACACACCTTTACAGGGTTACATGGAGGGGTTTTGTTGGTATGCACACCTTTACAGGGTTACATGGAGGGGTATTTTGGTATGCACACCTTTACAGGGCTACATGGAGGGGTTATTGTTGGTATACACACCTTTACAGGGCTGCATGGATGGGTTATTGTTGGTATGCACACCTTTACAGGGTTACATGGAGGGGTTATTGTTGGTATACACACCTTTACAGGGTTACATGGAGGGGTTATTGTTGGTATACACACCTTTACAGGGTTACATGGAGGGGTTATTGTTGGTATACACACCTTTACAGGGTTACATGGAGGGGTTATTGTTGGTATACACACCTTTACAGGGTTACATGGAGGGGTTATTGTTGGTATACACACCTTTACAGGGTTACATGGAGGGGTTATTGTTGGTATACACACCTTTACAGGGTTACATGGAGGGGTTATTGTTGGTATACACACCTTTACAGGGTTACATGGAGGGGTTATTGTTGGTATACACACCTTTACAGGGTTACATGGAGGGGTTATTGTTGGTATACACACCTTTACAGGGTTACATGGAGGGGTTATTGTTGGTATACACACCTTTACAGGGTTACATGGAGGGGTTATTGTTGGTATACACACCTTTACAGGGTTACATGGAGGGGTTATTGTTGGTATACACACCTTTACAGGGTTACATGGAGGGGTTATTGTTGGTATGCACACCTTTACAGGGTTACATAAAGGGGTTATTGTTTGTATGCACACCTTTACAGGGTTACATGGAGGGGTAATGTTCTGCTCGGCATATATCATTATGTATTTTTATATTTGTTCATGTGGAAAAAATAGTGTTGGATTTCTTTAACTTGTACATACATACATATAAAATTTCAGTATATTTTGTACAATAGTTCAACTTATATATTCTTATATGAAAATAGACTGTTTTCATCTTATATACAAAATAGACTATTGTCATCTTATATATTCTTATATACAAAATAGACTATTTTCATCTTATATATTCTTATATGTGAAACAGTTTTTAGATTTCTTGAAACATTTCTTTGTTCCATGTAAAGCATCACATTATGCACAATGAATTACATTTGTTTTGTAGTACACATTTATATCATTTTCATATTTATTCCGTTATAGAAGTAGTTTTTAGATTTCTTAAACATTTCTATATTACATATACAGCTTTGCAATGTACTATGCACACTGATTATTGAATAATTGTAATTTCACTCTGTAGTTTAGCATAATTTGTTTCATGTTTATTACAAGAAAGGTTGTTTATTTGTATGTATATATATATAATCTGTTAACATTAATTGGTTTATGTCAACATTGTGTAAGTGCCTTGATATGTTACCATTTATAAGATGTAAAGAATTCCACTGACAAATTGTTCTGAAATTTCTAAAAATACCAGCAATGATCAAAAACTCTAAATAAAATAGCCAAAATAATGAAAATTGAATTTTGACCTAGACTAGAATAATATTTCGCTGCTGCATTGGTATCATTTCAACAAACAATATCTGTACCGTAAAGATATTATTGAATTCTTTGATAAACTAAATAGTAACGTATGGTGTTAAACATTATGGCAAGGAATATTCGTTCAATTTGAAAGTATAAGATAAAGAACCATGGCATTGATTCACCTGTAGAATGTCGAGGTAGGATTTAATTATCATTTACCCTCATTATTCATCATAGGAGAATCTCATTTCTCCATGTCTAAATTTTAGTGCCAAGGGTTTGTTGCAATATCGTTTAATGTACTTAATATTTTTGCTTTATATTTCAAGTTGATGAGACAAAAAGGAATTGTTACTTGTCTGTGTCCATCTTGTTCTCAATCGACCAATTTTTAAGAGTACACATTTTTTTCACCAAATGGGTATGTCTTATTTCTGTATCTAAATTTATCCATATGTGTTCAAAACATTTATTTGTAGGAAGATATTTAAGATATTTATAATTATATATATATATATTACCAAATATTGTAAATTTACAGAAACGTCAAACAGCTTTAGTTTATCACGTCCTCAACTTGTTTTCAAGGTTTTTGTTATCATAGCATAGGAAATGTTTACTCAAAATTACACAATTAGTATGAAATTTCATATTTTTTGAAAATCTTTTGACTACATTGAAAATGTTAGGTTTCAGAATTGTGGTTCTGACTTCTGACAAGATCATGGTACACTGATTCTTTCTTTTCTAGAGACAGTTTATTCATGTGACTTAAATCGTGTGACTTGCCACTTGATCAGATTGATGGACTATAATTGTATAAATACCTAGTTTAAAAGTGTTATTTAACAATGTTAACTTAAGCTTCTGTTGTACACGTGACGTCGCCTTTCCACGTGTTTCTGGTTCAGCTGGTCAGTAATCAGCACAACCTATTGGATATCATGCTTATTGTGAGCCAAAGTTTCTTTTTAAGATATCTGTAGTCCCGATGTAGTCCCCTGAAATGTTATCGGTATTGTACTTACATTGCAGAAATTATACCTATCTATAACTGTGACAGTATGTAGTGCCAAATATTTGTGTCAAAAGCTTTATCCTGTTCATAGGTGCTATCTTCTATTCGTTCATATTTCATTAGCCCACCATCATCAGATGGTGGGCTAGTGGTCTATTCAAATCACCCTGCGTCCGTGGTCCGTAGTCCGTGGTCCATCCGTCCATCATTCCATCCATTGTGAGCTTATGCCATACCGCGGCGTCCGTTGTCCCTCTGTTCGTCAACAATTTCTTCAAATTACCTCTGCTTAACTACCGATTGGAATTTAACTAAATTTAGCGGGAAGCATCCCTAGGTGACAGGGATTCAAAATTGTACAAATAGTGGGTCTGACCTCCCAGGGGGCTGAGGGGCAGGGCCTAAAGGGATCAATTTCGCTATATTGCTATAAACGACTTCTACTCTGGAACTAAGAGATGGGTATCAACC